ATCACAATTGTTCATAAATACAATGTGATTTTTTTCAACGATAATTATTCGTATAGTTTAAATATTATCTGTGTTTAAACTACTATCTAAAAAGATGATGCATGATACTTAAGCGCAATTATACCACCACAAAAATAATAAATACACCACTGTATAAAATTAACGTGTTACTCGCTTTCCTTAGAATCCTGAATAACCCCGCAATATTTCAAGTTTAATATTAATATAAATTTAATATTTAGATGAGGAGTGTTAGGGATTTTCCTTAAGTGGTTTTGTGTTAATTTTATTAAGTTTTACGTCTAAACTCTAAAGGTTATGAACTTAAAAATATGATTATATATTTTTCTAGAAGATGCATTTAAGAAAATATGATTTTAAATTATATTATTAATATGTAATTGTTCTACCAAATAGCTAGGCAATAACGTTTTAACGCTTAATGGATAAATTCTGTCGACTGAAATATTTACCAAAAATATATGACCTTGTACAACACATGACAAATACAGGGGCTTGCACATTGGCCGACACTCAACACATCTCCAAAAATCGGTATTTTACGTCTTTACAAATTACATCGGTAATATTATTTAACGTTCGTCTCGTATTGCAGTAGGTCATGTCTCGCTACAAAACTGCAAATAGTGTATAGAGCTACTCATCCGTCTCCTGCAATCGGGTATTATTGTAAAACCTAAGTTAAGTGTACATCGTTATTTTCATGGTCGGCGAGAACTTTAGAGGATTCCGAGGCTGATAAGTTCCAGACGTACTCTATTTGCACTTGTTTGGCTAAGATAAACCTATTACTTGTACATACTTTAGTGTAATAAAAAGTATTCAAACTCGCATCTTATGCTACGGAGGATGAGATGGTAAAAAAATGTTGTACAAAAGGCCAAGACGACGGGCCCTCCAGCCGGCCCTAGTTATTTTCACTGACGCTTTACCGCGGTCGACGTACGTCTGACCCTTAGTATATGCTACTAGTATATGCTACCGCAGAGTATATGAAATCGGAACGGTCACCGATAATTTTTACACACGGGTAAATTCAAAAATCGGTCGTTGTTACGGAGTCCCAAAAGCGTACATATTTATCGTGCATTATGCGGTATAATAAATAATACACGTCAAACCGACGAAGTACGTCAACGATTTTTCAATAAAACTATCACGGAATAAATGTTATCACTTTTAAAGAGACGGGAGACTTTACTAACACGGCATCGGCTGAATCTCGGCTACATCTAACCATTCTGATCTCACATTTTTTCATCAATTTTACAATTGATAACTTACATCCAAACGGTGTATGAGCTCAATACCTCCCCGTTCTTAAAATTTCATTATTTTCGTCATTCGACAGTACATGATTTTATAAAATCATAGTAAATCAAGTTTTGGACTTAGAGTTTTGAAAGTGGTATGAGTGGATTCATATGTACTTCTACTATCGTCCTATAATGGTTTCCAAACAGCAAGTCCAAATAATGTCTGCACGGCGTGTAAGTATTGGATAAAAGCGTGTTAAATGAAAATAACGTGTTAAAGGTAAATATCGTGTTAAATGAAGATAGCGGGTTAAGGTAAAAAATGTGGCAAAGGTAAAAAGTGTGGTAAAGGTATAAAGCGTGGTAAAGGAAAAAAGCTATAGAAATTAACAACGATTTATTGACCCGCGCGACATGACGACGACGACCGCGGCACACAGCGAGATATTCAGCTAGATAATGAGCGAGCGAGATAGAACCGAGGTTACGCGTCGATAAAAGAAAAAAAAAATCTAACAATGCGAAAAATTTGAATTTAGACAGAAAATAGTACATAAACCTATTTTTATTTTTCATCACCCAAATTTTTTAAACATAAATATTTTAAGATATTATAAATAAACTATTTTTATTTATTTTTATTTTATGTTATTAATCAATTAACAGATCAAATTTATTTATTATAATTTAAATAATGTATAATCAAAAATGTAACTAGTTTTATGATTTTTGTGATTTAAACATATACCTATAATGTCAGAATCATCTTCATGAATTCGTTTCCTCTCTCGAGAAATACATTTATCCATGTTAAATTGAGAAATAAGGACAACTAGTTAACAACGTCGAACAGCCAAAAATAACTAATAACAATGATGGTCGATGGAACGTCAACGTAGCAAAGTATGAATGAAGGATACTAAAAATAGTATTATTAATGTTATTAATACTGGTCTCTGGCGGACAATTTATAATTTTTAATGCATATCTGTATGTATGTATGTATATTATATTTATGAAACTCAAGCTTGATTAAATATATCATAATTTTAAAATATTCCATATAAATCGGTGTATTTATTTTATTTAACCGTACGTATTTACCAATAACTAATAAGTGATTACTATTACCTTGTTGCTATTTTCAGTATTCACTAACTCGATTTAAAATCTATGTACACTAATACTATATAGCCGTGGCCACTATTCAGTGGTTACTGGTTGGCTTTTTTATTATTTATTACTTTAATCTAAGTTTATACATTGTTATTTATGGAACGTTTCAACAAAAGATTGACGTTTTCTATCCATGCGTTCACACAATTATTGTCTATATTATTATAATATTAGCTACTAGGTATACGTATATTAAATTCCGAGTGTAAGCATTGGGCAGCGTATCGCCTAGTATCGCTGGTATCGCCCAGTTGTCGTTTATATAGAAAAAAAAAAGTTAATCGTTATAAAATTGAATGGTATTACGTTCATTTTTATGTTTTCTGTGTAAATAATTTTACAATACCTTTTCTTCGTTTATAGAATATGTATATTTAAAATTTAAAACGTACATATGGTAATATTAAGTGTTTATTATTTCTCGTTTCACTTCCCACAAAAAAAAATTATCTTTTTCAAAATTATCTAGATAATTTATCTTAGATAACCATTTTATTTAAAAAGATGGATAAAAAGATACTTCAAATTATTATTATCTAGATAAGATAAAAAGATTAATGTTTGTATCTAGATAAATCATCTAGATAAAATTATTTAGATAATGCACAACACTGGTTAAAAAGGTAACTTTTTTTTCAGTTTGCCAGAGTTTGCTAGCGAGTCTTTCTACGCCACTGGCTATTACTGTATTGCAGCGGGCCCCGGGACGTTTCGGACGGTCAGTGGTTTTGAGCAATCCTTCTTTACCTTATTGTAATGCTATTGTTATATCAATCAGCTTATAGTAGGTGATTATTTCGAGCTTTTTCCAGCCCCGTACAAATTTATTTAATTTCAGTCCATAGAATTAGCATTTGTAACTATCGAACTTTTTTCATTAAATAAATCTTATTGTCGTCATTAAAATTTTCATGATTTTCAGTTTTTTACATGATTAATCTAATTTTTATGACAATATAAGTTTACAAAGTCTTATTCTTTAATTTTAACCTGAGAAAAGTATAATGTATGACTGTTCGTTTACTTACTTTTTTATAAAATTGACCATTTTCTGTTATTAATATTTTGTTGTGTTGTATTTAATTTTAAATTGGAAAAATTATAGGCAAATATTATAACAATTTTTATGTTAAAAATAAATTAAATTAAGTAATCAATGACTTTAAATATTGAAAAAAAAAATTTGTAGATGGCTTAAACATGATTGGAAATTTAATGGAACATTTTTTGTTACAGCAAAAAGTTTAATTTAGAGGAAAAAACATTCGTTATACTTACCTATTTATTTATCAATGATAATAAAATTAGTACCTTTAAATAAAAAAAATCGTTATTATTTTGTGATGCTTAAGCGTTTGGCTTGTATTATATTACCTTGCTTAGTCGTAAATAAGTATACTTTATTATATTTCGTATACTCAAATTATACGCATTTAATTTAACGTTAAATATTATGCAAAAATATTTTACTCGAATCAATTATAATCAGTATAAAGAAAAGCAGCGTAGAAACATTTTTGATGGCTACCACTTATAGTAATTGTTTTGTTGACTTAAAAATAAAAAAAATTAAATTGGAGGGTCATTTTCTTCGTAAAAAGGCATTAAAATTAAACACTAAAACTAAGAAAACTAACTCAGAAAATTAAGAAATTTAATTAAAAAAAAAAAAAAAAACGTTTTTTTAAACGAGTATGTTTGGTCAAAACATGTTTTATAATCGTGGTCAAATGCAATAATTCGTAAATTTATTTTTTATCCCCAACATTTTACATATGTTATCAACCACAATTCTATATATAATTGTTTATAAAAACAATGTTTAAACTGCTGAGCCGATGTATTGTTTATATTATTTTCCTTTGTTGTCGAAACGCGCGTGCGATGGGATCGTATGTTCTCTCAGCAATGGACAATGGTTTTGACTTTTAAATGTTGAGGTACGTCAATGACCGAAGGTCGGACGTCATTTGTATTTAACTTTGCGAAAATTTATACGTTTTATCTTTCCGGAAAAGTCGTAAAATTTACTGCACAGTAATAACGTGTATTCAAAGCAATATCTGCATTTACTTACCTATATGCCATTAACTCCAATAGTAACGGTATTCGTGCTATTGTCAATATAGTAGTTCTTTAAATATTTGATTAATAAAAAATAGAGTATTTCTGATCATACATAACATAAAGTGTATTCATTTCTATAAACTCAAGGATTATTAAGGATTTATGAATTTATTTTTAATTTCAAAGTAGCTTTGTTAATATATGACACACGTATTTTGTAACATCATTTTAGTGCCATTATTGTATACAACTCATTAAGTGATTTTACACTACTTTGCGAATAACAACACTATAATATATAATGTTTGTTGTATTGTTGCACAGTGTTATCGATGATGAGACTTCCCAACTTTAAGATGTTTCTCTCTATAATAATTATGGTACACTTTGATGTGATAAAAACATGTTTGCATCATGTTATTTTAGTGACCAAACATTTTTTACGAATCTTAAACGTTCATTTTTTTTTTATTGTTTCAGTGTCGCGATGTCTTGGAACTTAAAGTTCTGGAATTATGTCCAGAACTCACGTTGCTCGGAGAGACGATGGAAGAGGCCATGAGCTTGCAGGCCGATCATGAGACAGTGTTGGAAAAAATACAGGTTTGAATCGTCTTAGACTTAATTGTTTTTATGGAGATTGATATTTATTTTATATATCTTTAACATAGACGTTAATACAAATTTAGTTTTAGAATAATTTGTCGATATGATAATACATAGGACGTGTCTATAATATGTTTATAATCTTCGGCCTGTAGACATAAAGCAATAGTCATTATTATGTACTATTCATCTATAGAAGATTATATAAAACATTATTTAAACAAGAAAGAGGATGTCATATAATATATGCATTTTAAATGTTCTTTTTTTATAGGTAAAAACTCATTTTCTCATTTTGCTATCTTCAATCGATGTTTTTTAGCTTAAAATTTGAATTTACATTTTTAGAGTACACTTTAAGTCCATCGGTTCATTACACTAATAGTTTAATTCAATTGAGTGATATGATTGTACTAAATAATAGTATGTTTTCATTTCTACTTTGTCTACGGAATACTTACCAAACATACTGAATCGTTTGCTCTAATTTCGTATCGAATATGGAAATTATAAATTTATAAAAATAAACCTATAACTCTCGGATGAAGCCGGATAATGGAGCTCGTTTATGTACGAGTATATATTTATTATTTATATATTTTAGTGAAAGGCGTCGATTTTGTTTGGAAATAAGACCTCATTGTTAATCATTTAATTTGTTAGTCGTCGTTATATATTTTATAATGTGTATAATACATAAGTACTGTGCTATAATATCATTTAGAACATAACAAATTTATTACACTCGTATGAATGACTTAATTGTGTGTTCACCTTGACACCAACAAAGATTTTCTTAGATCTGATTTTTGAACGTTATGCGAGTAATACATCCATTAAAAGGATATACAAGAATCAATGAACGTGGATCTAGTATTATTTTAAAACAGTGTTATGATTTTTGTGAACAATAATAAGCTCCCCTGTCATCTCTCATACAATAAAAAAAATGTTATTATCATTTGCTCGTATTTGCACGAGTTCCTAGAGATTGTGATCTCAAATAAATGCACCTCTGTATAAGATCTGAAAAATAATATGTTAAATTTTAGCATAAGTAGTAAATGTTAAAGACGAGTCATTGATTTATTTGTAAGAATAGAAATGGAAAGAGTATGTGTGTCGTAACCGCTTCGTGAAATCGATCTTTTCACGAAAATATCGATATTACGAAGCTGCTATGACATATAAACCAATTATTTTTTCGAATGGTTAATTCCGCTATTTTTAGTGCATAAATAAAAACAAATGATTTTTCAACTACGAGTCCTTAACTGTTTAAGTCACAAATAGAATATTTTTAATTGGAATAATAAACAAAATAAATGTAGAAATTAATATGATAATAATGTATAATAATAAACACATTTTACATGTGTTTTACAAAATATTAGTAGAAATTTTACGTTTTTAATTATATCGTATGCACATAATTATAATAAGTTTTTGATTTTAATATTATAACTTGGTCGATACGTTTATCGTAATATCGTGTGGTGCGCATAAACTGCGCGTGGTGTGATTATAATTCAATAATTAACCGCGTACATTTACGTCTGGTTCGAGATGTTGATCGGATAACTAGGTCATAATTTCCCATGTTTTGAATATCGCCACGATGTTCTGTTGTATAGCTGTTGCACGTTCTTGGCGAGCGAAACGTCTGTCGCTCGTTTTCCGTCCCCGATGGAATTACACGCGTGAAAAACAATAACGTACCCAAATTAGTCGCGGTGTTGAAATGCACCGCATAAGCGGACACCTCGACTTGCAGACTTGCACCGTTGTCACGTATGATAACCGACGTACCGAATAATTATGTCGTCGGATTTCATTAAAAATAAAATAATACATGGCAATAATAAATAAACAAATATAATAACGTAGCGGTTTGCGAATACTCACATATTTATGTGTGTGTGTGTGTGTGTGTGTGTGTGCGTTCATACCATTTATGGCGGTAACCGGCACTAGCCTTGACTCGATATGCATATTAGACGCCCGGTACAGTGTACATACATTCCGCGCGCGCGCGCGCGTGTGTGTGTGTGTGTGTGTGTGTGTGCGCGCGCGAATGTAACATTAAAATAAACGTGTTTTCGTGATCGTACTGGTGCGAGCACGTAATAATGAGTTACAGCTGTACAATGATTATTATTATTGTTGTACGCGTGCGCAGGAAAAGCAGAGTCCCGTCAACGAGTTGCTGAAGAAAGCCGACCATCTGATAGCCACGCAAAACACGCAACCCGAGGTGTACGCCGCCATGGCCGATTCGCTGGGGCTGGCCTGGAAAGACGTGAACGACGTGCTCCGGAAGAGGAGTTACCTGCTGCACCTGAACGTCGAGTACCACCGGTAATAACACGCGGACGTGCGATTCGGTCCCGGCGTCCGCGGGTCTTCGGATCTCGCGGATTTCCGTGATCCGGAAACGGCATTTCACTTGAATATCATTTATTTGATGAAATATAAAAAATCCTTACGCAGGCAAGCCGACGTGTGCATGGAACGGATCGGCACGCTAGAAACTCTCTGTCGCAGTTACCTGCCGACCGACGTCGAGTCGATCAAAAACCATTTGGAGCACATCCAAGAGGTCCGTAAGTCCATACTGGAGGCGCTCGTGGTCGCTTTGGGAAACGGCACGCAGCTGCTGGACGTTCTGAAGGAATTGCAGACCAAAGGCACGCTGGATTCGAGGCCGGCGTATAATTACAATTCGGTTTCGCTTGGTAAGATAATAATAATAACATATTTCCTACGAGATATTGAAGTCGTATGTAATGAAATCTACAACCGAAACATCGATTATTTTTATTGTAAAATGACGTACCGTTGCAGATCCGATCACTATTGCGCTCAAGTCGTTATAATAATAGTGCACTCCATCAGTTCAGTCTTTGTGGATTTGATATTCTATATTTGAAAAAATGTGAAAAAAACATGTATTTTTTATAGTACTTATACCTATTTAAAGTAGTGAGGCACATTGGTTTCATGCGTCGAACAATATACGCAATAAATACGTGATAAATATGTGTGCAGATTAGATTAATAATCGAGACTTTGTATATCATATACTATTTGAATAATATTCATATATAATTATATTTAATATGTATTTAGTCATATATTAAATCGTTGTTAGTTTCGTATACAGAATTAATATATGAAATCAACAACGGTTTAAAAGTTCTCTGTTATTGCGAAGCATGCGATTAATACTTATTGCTAAGTAAAATCGATAAAAAATTTAGAAAATATTGAAAAATTAGAAAAAAATTTAAAAGTGAATTTAAAGCGAATTGTTAAATTAAATTTTATCTCGCAAACTATGTAAACATTTTTAGTAATTGTTTATGGTGATGATTCATAAGAATAACGTCAACAGTTCATTAAAACAGCGTACAATGAAGAGTGTATTTCAATATTTGTTGACGAGCTGTCAACTGTTCGGTCAGAAATCCATTAAGAAACACATGTTTACTGATTCAAATGATATGCATAGGGTACCGAGTTTAATTTTTGTTTAAAACCATTTTTCATAACTCTCAGCTGTATTTTATCGAGTGCTCATCGTAACACACATTAATTAATTCTCGTTTACTATATACATTTTAAGACTAGGATTTGCAACGTATTTTAGTCTTCACGTTGAAATTATTTCATTATAATTTACATTTTGATCACATGATATACGGGACGGGGTAAATAAATTCATTGGAACCTACAAAATACTTTTTTATTCTATCGTTCTCTTTTTGTATCATTTATGTCAAATCATATTATTATCTATGTATTCAGAGACAGTAAACTTTTATAATGTTTCGAGCCTTTTATATAACCTGTCAGTGTGGTACAGTAAATATAAACATTTGTTTAATTTAATATTAAAAGATAACGATTTTTTAACAACACTTGTGTTATTTCGTTTCTAGCCATTTCCCAAGTCGAACATTGGCTGGAGAAACTTCACGATAAACGCCATTCATTAGACATCGACTGTCACGAACGCAAGACAATGCTGGAAAAACGATTGACGATATCTCTTCTAGTCACCGACCTTAATTTACTCGAAAACATACTATCCGAACGTAGAAGTTCTCTGGACAGAACGAAAAATTGCCTGGGAGATTCGCAGTATGAGTGTTCCAAGCTGACGGAAGTTAACGCTAACCTGATGATCGAGGCCAAAGACATCAGAGATCAGGCACTGAGGGTGGTGAAAGCCACCGAGCAATTGGTGCTGACAAAAGGTTACATGGAAGACGATTACAAATGCAAGGCGTATAAACTATTGGAGTTGGCTACGGAATACTTGGAAGAGATCACCAGGAGAGAACATCTCCTAGACGCCGCTATGAAATTTTTCGAATCGGCCGAGAAAGTAATGGGGCCCGATAAAGATTACCAACCATTCGGTTGGTTTGTTTTAATTTCGAAAAATATTTATTATTATTTTCACGCACGATTTAGGTACTTCGAGCATGGGAAACGATACTTCAACATTCGTCGGATGAAAAGTTGGCAACGAAAAACACATACATTACGGAGACGGTAAAGCGAACCGGCGCCTCAGTAATTCAAGAAGGAAACTTAATACTGAAAGACGTACCTGAAGCAGAGGTGTTAAATTCGTTCTATTTATTTCATTAGAATGATAATAAATAGAATTATTGTTTGTACAAACATGTGTATAATTTTTCAGGGTGTAAAACGGGTTGTGGAAGAGTTGGAAAGAAAGAAACAATTAATATTATCAATTGTTATGAAAGACCAGGACAAATATTTAGAATCATCCGAAGCAATCAACACGTTTTCCGAAAACTATAACAAAGTATTGACTTATACGGAGTTAAATAATTTAGTAGATATGTTAACATTATACGCTTCTGATGTAATCATTGCTCGTGACATTGTTATCTATTACTTGCAAAATTCCTAAAATAATAATTATAATATTACATGCACCATAATTATTACAATATTTATAAGATAAATTTCTAATCAGAAAATATCGCTATCGTTTTTATTTTCCGTAGATTATTATTTATTATTCGTAATTACACATTCTAATGTTTACTTAATTTGCCTACTAATGTACTGTATAAATGCATAAAAATATATAATATTAGTTAACGTTACATTTTCCCTTTACCTTCATAAAACATAAATAATAATTTTACATTTTGTACGTCTAAAAATAAAACATAATTAGATAATTGTATCGTTTAAATTTAATTTACCGTATAGCTTAGATATATAATTATTTCATCAATGTGTGTTTTTTTCCAGATATTCTCGTGGCTTGTGAGTTCGGCTGAATCGTTTTTACACGAACACAATTCCATGGGCAGAACACTTACGGAAGCTCGAGAGTTTTTAGTATCCTATAAAAGTCTACAAAGAGACCTTAGGGTACGTTTTCAACACTGTAAAATATTTTTAAAATTAAATTTTATACTGTGATTGCATAGAGTTTGGTATAGGTATTTTAACGTGTATGCAGATGTACATATTTAGGTAGTTATTTTGTTAAAAAAATACTAATAATTAGGTCGATTTGGTGTATATTGGATAACAGACCATTCTTTTGTTCTGAAAACTTGCATCATTTTAATCTGTAAGAAATATCTACCAATAAAATTAGGTTAAATTGTTCGGCAGATTTTATCACATCATTGTTATTATTAATATACATATTCCTTGGCTTTATAAAGGTTTTAGTTTTTGTTGTTTAAGTATTTTAAACCGCGGCGGGCACGTGCATAACTTTAAACCGGTTTTCGGCATGTTCTAAACAATATTACTAACGCTTTATGAAATGTTTTTTCAGACCCGAGGGATCGATATCAACGCTTTGGTAAACTCGACTGGTTTGTCACCATTGACGTACATTGATGCCGAGACAAGAGTAGATCTAGAAGGAAAATCTATCGCTTTGAAAGATCATTGGACGTATTTGGACAGAATAGTAGATTGGAGGATACAGTTGGCAGAGCTGTACGTTAAATTCTTTGCGTTGTACGAGAATTTGAATGTTGAATTTTCGAATTTGGATTCGATTGTCGGTGATCACGCTGTTGACATGCCTGATCAAAAATCAGATTTCGCCCATAAACATTGGACCAGTATTTTACAATTATATGTGCAACTGAAAAATACTGGAGAGAAATTTTTACACCAAAGTTTAAAGGTGAGTGAATAGAAAATTTGTTTTTAATTAAAATGTATTGATGAATTTCTCTACGTTAATTCCGATTTTATTTTTATTTTCTCAGTGGATTAGTTTACAATTTGATAATCTTTATAATAATCACATTCTACCATAAAATTATTTTCGTAATATATGTAATATATGAACTATTACACCATTATGTTATAGGCGTCACATGGGAAGCATATTTACCATTGTTGACAATTATGTTTCTTGATGATTCTAATTGAATTAAACGTTTTCGGTAGAAGTTTTAATATTATAGATTGTTTTTGAAAAGTTATTTTATTTTATTCTTATAAAAAAAATATTATATTTACGTCTAGATAGCAATCAAGTATCACCTTGTGTTTAAAGTAAATATAAAATAAATAAAACTACGTACAATAAACAATAATTGATGGTTAAATAAAAAAAAGTTTATATACTATAGATAAAAAGGTACCATGTGAATCAGGTATTTAATAAATTTAGTACTTGGAAGATATTTAGATACGCAGAGAATTGTTTAATCAACTATACATGGTATTTATTCAATATTCCGTAAAATATACACTTTTCGTATTGATGTTTTTGTACATATTTCGCTTAAAATAATAATTAATGTCAGTATGTTCGTTTGAAACCAAGAAAGTAATTTCCAATTTTTTTTTCAGTTAAAAATCTAAACTCAATTGAAATAAAAGCCGTATTGTGTTAAGTAACGAGTCAGTCGACGGTATATTCGCTTATTTATTCCTTGACTTTCGGTCAATTTCTATTTTCTAAATTATGTAGTTAACCAATGACTCAACAATTAAAATAGGATATTACTCAACAGAATAAATAGTTTTGATGTGTTGACTATAAAACTATAAATATATATTAAATACAACAGTTTTAAAAACTGTGATGACGCTGTAATTGGATGAAAGGTTTGTTTAAAGTGTGGAACAAACAGATAGGCCTAATTCAAATATACAGAGTGGTATTAACGACGTCAAAGGTGTAACTGTCGACAATTTAAGATTTACAAAACTAGGAAAACACAAACATTTCCGTACAAAAATTCAACTAGGCAATTTATAGTACATACTTGTATATGCTGTACACTACTTCTACTGTAATAATAATTTACCCAATTCATATGATTTGTCCAACAATTAATAATTAATTATTATTATCATTGATGAATATTTAATGTATACTTAATCAATATTATTATTTATGCTGTAAATATATTAGAATTTTACCGCTTTCAATTTAAATCATGAATATTTTTCCTAAATAATCATTCGGAATTTTTATAAACATAATTTCAATTATTTTTTTTATAAATTCATTATTTGATTACTTTTTATGTAGTTTAAGCTAAACATGTTAAATTATATCATTAATATCGTAAGTAATATGAAAAATTAATTTAATGAACTGGTTTAAATTAGTTGAATTTTAATACATCCCTGTGTTAAAATAATACTTGGAGTGGTTTTACTTAATGAAATATTATACCTCGTTATTTTTAAATACATGTGTGCTTATGTGGATGAGTATGTGTTTATAATGTTCATGGACGCATGATGTTATATGCGTTTTTCCAAGAATTTCATTCAAACACGTACAATAAAACTTATGATATATTGCAAAGATGCTATAAAATTACGTTTAGTCATAAATGAAATACATATCGGTATTATTTTTTATAGGCTTTTATGGAGTGTACGTATAATAATAATTGGTTAACTCGAATTTTCGAATTCTCAAAGGAAAAATGTAGTTGCACTTATCATTCATGTAGTAATAAAACTCAGGATCACCTATTGGAATAGAATTTAGTGTAAATTAATACATCTGTTCATATTGTTCTTATTAAATTTTAATGTTTTATAATATATTAAGCCAACAGAAATTTTACTAATTTAATACAAATATATATATAACTTGAATTATAACTCATATAAAAGTAAAAAATTATTTTGAATGAATCGTCAATCATAATTTAACCTTTTTAAACTATCTGATGGTTGACTAAATAGAAGAACTAGTATCTATTTTTAGGTTGTGAATATAATAACTAAGTTATTTCAATATAACAAATTATTTTGTCAACAACCGGAATAGTTTTATTACTGATCACTGACCCTATTACGACATCATGGATTCACATTGAGTTTTTCTTAAAATTCACATAACCAAAGGGTAAACATGGTGTTTATATTATAACAACTTTTACTCCCGTTATCGTACTAGATATTTTTCCCATAGAAACAGCATATATAAATAAATATATATATATATATATATACAAAAAACGATATATCGCAGTCTTTTGCGTATATATAAATACAAATAATTCAACAAATCGATCCAATCTTCTGAGATACGATTTTAAACGTATTTAATCATAATCACAATGAGAATAAATTGATTCGTGTTAAAATTTGTATTTAAAAATGTAAAACGTGATAAAACTATATTAAAGTGAATTAAAACCATGTATGTTACAAATATTACTCTTATATTTTAAAATAAATCTTAACGTTTTTTTTTTAAATAATTTCACTATCATTACAATTTAAGTACTATTCTAACATATTCAAACGATAACTTTAGGAAACCATTTGACTTTGCTTAAGTGTGATGCTTCATGTTCGCATTATTTTTTCTAGATTTTCTTGTAATCGATTGCAAAAAATTTTCAAAAAATTAAAATAATCCCTCGACGGCGCTTTTCTCTCGATTTGATTAGCTCACAAGCAAATATGAAAATTCCATAGCGGTATTCATTATTTAATAAAATATGTTAAACATTAGTGCCGAAACGACAGTTATACTTCTAGTCGTTTACCGATTAAACGCGTGAATCGTAAAAATATACAATTAATTTCGTACGTTCGAGGAGATTTATTGGAGTTGTGTGTGGAAATAATTATAGAACGTATGTAAGATAGTCTTGTTAAAAGAGTGTTTTCGGTTAAAAATAAAAAAAGCTTTATTATAAAAATGATTTCCATCGCAGCCCAATTTAAAACAATTTTTTTCTCGTTTACGTCTTTTGGCAACGCGCGTTTGGTCACGAGCTATATAGCTAATTCGCCAATTCGCTCATTTGAAAATTGGCCAGACCGGGGCCCCGGTGAAGTCGACTATTCGCGTAATGAATTCGCCCATTATGATTTTTAATAATTGTCGTCCGTGGGTATATACGTGAACGATGTTTCGCCGTTTTTGCATTCGAGTTGTATTCGGTGGGCAAAGTCATTTTTATACTTGTCGACCAGACGGTAGGTCTAGCAACGATTGTATCGTGGTCGTCGACCAAACACAAAATCGTTTTTCCTGTATTATGTGGTGCTGCGGCGTCGGCGGTAAAATGCAAATTTAAACGAGTGCACCATACACGACCATCGTAATAATATGACACGGACCATCACCACAAGCTATAGCTGTGATTTATTGTTTCTTTTGCGAATATTGCACGGTAAAAAAAAAATACCGTTTCAAAACGCAAACGTCATTTACCTACCTGTATGCGAAAAATGTGTGCGAGACGCCACGTGCGTGCTGCGAATTCATTCAGTGCACGTGTTTTCGCCGCGGCGGACGCATTGCAAGTTCGCAGTGAGGTGTTGTTCATGATGTCTCTCTCTCTCTCTCTCTCTCTCTCTCGTCTCTCTCGTCTCTCTCTCTCTCTCTCTCTCTCTCTCTCTCTCTCTCTCTCTC